TAACCTACCCTAGTCAGAGGTGCACCCCACCACCTAATGTACAGCAGAGCGACATCCACTTACCCGCTTTTTTAAAATACAGAAGCACATTTCAAAGTGTATATATTTTTTTTCTAACACTATGTCTCTTTGTCACTCACTTTCACTGTACCTATAGGCTATATCTATACTTACAAATTGCAGATTGTAAAAGCAAAACACTTAATTTTAAATAGTTAAATTGTATACAAAAATAATTACGAATCGTATTACATAAAATCCTATGTTTATAGACATTATTCATGAGATATTACAAAGTATGCWTTGTYACATTGATATTATGGACGAAACGTATATACAGCATTTTAACGGTCTATTAAATCATAATTTATTCTGTCAGTGCATCGGTCAGTTTGTTTTTTACCACACCCAGATAGCTGAATAGAAAATCATTGAGTATTTAAGTTAAGTTCAGTTTGTTGGTATTTAAAAATAATGGTACACACATTTTTAATAAAATAATATTTTTACGTGCACTATAGTACTTACCTTTGTATCAATGCAGAATAATATTTTCACTACATTGATATTTTCATTTGTTTCAATCTTACTAGTTATTATCGATTACCAAACAATGTATTATCGATGTCTGGATAAAAAAAATTTCAGTCGTATCTATGTAGATAGCCCTAGATATTTTATTGTTGAAATAATGGTTTATAGATTCTATGTACAACTTACATATAAATAGGAAATAAAATTAGGAAGGTATTTATCATTGAGTTATTGTGCTGTTTATTAAATACCTACAAATTTAAGATTATAAAAGAAAGTAATCTAGGTGTAATATGAGTAGGTATAAATRGTGAACTGGTGAATGACGGCAAAAAATTTTTAGTGAAARCAAAAGTCAAACTGAGAAAATATGATTGAAAAATATATCTGTGTACAAATTCACCAAACCACATTAAATACTTAAACATAACATACGCGTGTTGTTGTCTAACTGTATAAGTAAAGACGTTCAAAGTCATCATATGCGATGAAAACTGTTGTGACATATTTTTATTTTTAAATTTCTAGGTAGTAAATATCTACCTAGTAAATAATAATATTATAAATATTGGAATTAAATTTATTTTGTTTATTTTAATTGTTCGCAGAATGAGAGAGTTCGTTGAGGAAAACGAAAAAACCGATCCATTAATCCATGCTCCAGATAAAAAGAACAACCCTTGGGCGGAAAAAGGGAAGTGTGTAATAATGTGAACATTTTTTTTTACACACTCAACTCGGCGTTGCCGCCGCCACCCACCACGCCGTGCCACGCTGCCCTGTCGGCATTGAATCCGGTCAAACTTACATTTTCTTTACATTTTATTAACGCAATCATTTATTTTTTATTTGATGAAAAATATAAATAATAATTGTAACATTTCCAATATCGTGTATTTTTTCGTTTTATTTTGAATTATAAAAATACATTTTTAATAAAAACTAAAAAAAAAAAATATAACATAAAAACGAGTATTTTAAGGGTAATTATATAAGCTCAATAAAATATAAAAATAATAGTCTTGATTTCAAAATATATGATAATTTATTTAACTAGGTAGGTCAATAATAATATGTAGGTAGGACGCGTGCGCGCCTTAACGTTATCAATTTCTGTGTGAGTACTTAAAAGATAAATACGTCTTCGTCTTCGTCTTATTTATTTGTTTGTTTCTTTTTCTTAATTTTTAGATTATTTCTTATACTATATGATTTTTATCTTTAGTCACATTATTATTCTAGTCACTGTAATTAAGCCCATCTCAGGTATATTATTTATATCTCGTATACCTATATATTATTATAATAATTATAAATATTTATAAACATTAA